TCGAATTGTTTGTCAGATATTTAGATGTAGTGTTTTACCTCTGTAACTCGAATTCAAAGTAGACCAGACGTCTACAAATCAAAATTCATCTTTATAGCATAATCAAACTTCAATTGTCACTGCCTCTATAACGCCTCCAGTATCGACTAAGCAAGCCAGAATAGCGATAAACGTTTTACAAAGTTTTATAGAAAGATATAATAATATTGAGGACAACGTATGCTCTGTTTTGATTATCAATAATAATGACATTGATCAATAATGTATAAATACATTAATGCAAAATAAAATTACAGATTTTTTTTAAACATTTATGAATAATAGCCTGGTATTTGTTTTATAATTATATTTATTATATGTATGCAATAAATAATTCACTGTCAAATATTGAATATTTTTTTTTTAAAAGCCATTATAATCGAAAAATTAAAAACTCTTGTACAGAACCTGTGCAAGTCGAATTTTCATATACTTATGTCAATCCTCTATTACGCAAAAATTTTGATAAGTCGAAACCTCTATAACTCGCAGATTTTTGCTTTTAAGGTTCAAATTATCAAGGTTCGACACTGTAATTAATATACGGGAAAAAAAGTTCCATATATAATTATATGTAACTATACATAATTATATGCAAAATATGTCCATATGTGTTTCTTTTGTTTGTAAAATTATTCTTTAATACAAAATTGATAATAATAAGAAGGATATAAAAAATAAATGAAAGAATAATTTCTACATTGTTGCTTTTTTACAAAAAATCAAGTTTGAAGAAATGAGAAAAATTGTTTATATCTACATAATTATATATGTATATTTTTAATCACTTATATATGATTATACATTTCTCAACAAAATTAAAGCGTCACTTACTCTACCCTCCAAAAATAGGCAAAATTCAAGAGAGTGTAACTTCGTTAAAAATGATCGTATCAAGATGTTCAAAAAATCATTTTACAGCTTAAAATCTCTACTTTTCGAATCCGTACTTTAAAAAACGATCCTACTGATTTTTCATGGAATTACACGTATAGAAAAGAAGACCCGACGAATCTCAAAATTTTTTACGAACTTTGACAAGTTCCATGGCGCGAATTAAAAATTGCATGCAAATGCAGTTTACAGCTTTCAAAAGAGTGAATCTTTACCTTTAATTTGCTTTTTTGTTGAGCGATGTACGATTCCATTTCACCGAGTTATTCAACATGTTCAACATTAAAGCAAAAATGGTTCTTTTGGCAATATTGAATAACTCGGTGAAAAAAAATCGTACAACGCTCAACAAGAAAGCAAATTAAAGGTAAAGATTCACTCTTTCGAAAGCTGTAAACTGCATTTGCATGGGATTTTTAATTCGCGCCATGAAACTTGTCAAAATTTGTAAAAAATTTTAAAATTTATCGTGTCTCCTTTTTTATCCGTTTAATTCCATAAAAGATCAGTAGGATTATTTTTTCTAAAAAAAAAATGTAAAAATTATTCTTTCAATCATTTTTTATGTTTCTTTCTTATTATTATCAATTTTGTATTAAAGAATAATTTAATTTTTAATTCAGAATTTTACAAAGAAAATAAACATATATGGACATATTTTGCATATAATTATATATGGAACTTTTTTTTCCGGGTACAAGTATTAATCTAAACAATTAACATAAATGTTGAATTAATGTTTATAAATGTCTATTGAATCATTTGCATATTGCAAATGAATAATTAATGTAACATAAATATTTAAATGTACTGACGTTATTCAAATTATTATTGCAAATAAGATGCTTGATGATAAAGCAACATGTAAAAGGTAAATAGGAAGCTATTATCGATGCTAGTTATCGCGGTGCGCAAAGAAATATTTAACGCAATTAATTAATATAAAATATAAAAAACAAACGTTTCGGCTACTTTCTAGTCCTCTTCAGCGCTATCATTCTTCTTAGTAAAAAAAAACATTTTATTTATGCAAAACATTATAACATAAACAAGATGTTATCTATTCTACTGGTCAATATTATAAAATGTCATTCGCCGCTATCCATGACATGAATGCAAAGATTCAGGAGATAGCTCTCGGCGAGGGTATAGGTAGCGCGCGCTCCATCCCACGCTAGGCACAGGTTGCACAGATTGCACTGCTGTATGGCTCGTAGATATCCTTCGCAATCGAAGCGGTGCTACCCCGTGCTACCCGGTAGCTTCCGGCAAGGGCAGGTGGCGCCCTATCTCGCTTAACAAGGGCAGGAAGGCTTTCGACGTGTCGGAGTTTATTCACGATCAAAAGCGGCCGGTGGCGAGTACACTAGACATCGTTAATGCCTTCCCGAGGTAACTCAGGGCTGAGCAAAATACATCATTAAAGTATTTAAAATACAAAATACAAAATACCGGCAATCTTAGTATTTGAATTGCAAAATAAAAAATACTTTCAATCTTTCAATTTAAAATACAAAATACAAAATATTTTCAATCTTTCGATTTGAAATACAAAATACAAAATATTTTTACAAGTATTTAAAATATGCCCAGCCCTGACTAGGTGTACATATCAGATACGTATCTAGTTACCTAGGGAAGGCATTAATGACGCCTATAGTGTAGCTCCTTAACACCGCGTTTCTCACCGTGTTGTAGAGCCCCAACACTTCGAGATCGGAAAACGCGGCAGAGCTTCTGGACGGTAAGCTCGCTCGAATGAAAAAATCTTCGCTTGACAAAGATCGCATTCTCGTTTTTTTTTTTTATAGTCGCCGGAATAGTATTCCAAGCGCAGCGCTACCGTTCGGCAATATATAACACAGTTTCAGTCGAATCTACAATAATAATACAATTATTGTTAACAATAACATATGCCCTAATAAGCCGTGCGGAACATCGGATGTTTTCGATGTTCATCGGCCGCTCTCGAATGGCTGTACCGTTTGTTCAACGTGCCGTCGCTCATTTGACGCGGTCGTCGATTTGCGAGTGTTAAATTTACGCGCGCTAACAATTAAAAATAATAAAGTACCGCGCCTTGGCTCGAATCCGAAAGATTCGAGTTATTCTCGGCGGATAATTTCCAGCTTCTCGACTATTGTTCGCCGAGGAACGGAGTGCATTCTAGGTGCACCATTACATATTAATATTAATAAAATAAACATTAAATTCAATGTGTTAGAACCTTTTATAACATTAATGTTCTCTCATTTCAATTAAAAATTATTATTTAAAAAAATTTGTTTGAAAAACAGTCGTATATCGTAAACAATAAATAAAGGATAGATATTTATGTTCGCATTTGCAATACTTCTTTAATAAATTTATCCTATTTATTTTGTATTATTTATAGTGTAAAAAAGCTTTATGTGTCCATGACAATTGAATGAAAATAAATATAAAAAATAAACATTTATAAAATTAATTTATTTCAATTTTATTTCGTTAATTAATTAATTAATTAATTTTGTTGTTATACTATGTTAATAAAAGTAATATGTAAACTGTTCTAAATGGAAATATCTCTTGTTTCTATTCTTCATTAGAATTGTTCTATTCTTCATTAGAATTGTTAGATTGAAAATTATTTCACACAGCATAAAATATGTCACAGATACTTTTGAAATATTTTATTGCAAGATTTGAAATATTTTTGAAAAATGTCCAAAATGTCAAAGTTTTTAAAATATTTCTTGAAATGTTTCAATAGAAATATTTCTTAAAATATTTATACAATAATCTAGAATATTTTTGTAAAATGTTTTAATGTGACATTTTAAATGTTTCACAAAATCCTACTTCTTTTGACAATTCCGTTCGGTTTACGAAATATTTCTAAAATATTTAATTGAAATATATGAAAAAATCTTTTCTAAGAATTATTTCATCCTGGATAGGACACAAGAAAAATTTTTCTTAGTAAAGCAATTAACAGAAATAATTACGAAAAAATAGTAAAAGATTTTGTCACAATTGTATGTATGAAGGCCTACAAATGGCAAAATATGTTTTGATTTCTCTTCCCTGTTAAAATGTGTTTTAAGATGAAGGGTAAATATATCCATACAACGAAATCATTTATTTGTGTTTATTTAACAGAGTGTTACATCAATGTGCAATATAAGTGCGAAACTAACAAGTTATTTATTTTCTTGCAAAACAGAATTGGTGAAATAGTATAATTCGACCCAGAAAAATGTGCTGGCGAGACACTCGTGCGTGACACATTCAAATAATGGCACGCTGCGAACTATAAGTAATAACATAGATTTCCATGGTTTTAAACATTTTAAATGTCCATTCACCCATAAATCCTCGCGTAATCGTAATCTCCGTGTTATAGCAGTTTTCGAAACAGAGTTTTCGATTGCACGCTACAAACGGGGTAAATTAACGATTGCAGTTTGTAACGCAATATGAGGACGAAAACTTATATTTATTCGCCTTTAAATCCGACGATACAAATGCTCGCTACGTAGTAGCAGACGCTCAACATACCTACATCTTTGCATTTCAATTTTATATGTATTATAAATCGGTAAAGAAAATGACAAAACAAAAGATAATAACGAAAAACGTCTCCCTGTTAGTTACAACTATTTGCGTCGATTCGAGTTCTTTGTGGTCTCGTAAAAGTTACTGCCATTTAAATTTACTGTAATTTAGATTTACTGTAATTTAGAGTACGAAAGAGTACTCTTCGATAAGAATACAGAGGGTATGCTTAATTGCTGCCCTAGTTTTTCTTGTGGACTAGATTCGTTACGAAATGCTCTTTTCTGCTTCTCCGTTGTTTACGCTTATCAATAAGTGTTTAATAACAAATATTTAATACTTAAATCCCATTTCGTTCTCAAACATATTTAGATAATTTTTATGATAAAAAGGTTTTGTGTTTGTTATAAAAATGGAATTTTAACAGAAACGTAGTCCGAATCAATTATTTGGTAATTGCTTTTTTAAGTTAATATTAAACTTTGTTTAAAGAAACTATGATTTCCGTAGATTATTTCTATTGTTTATATATATAAAGATTAATGAGGTTTCATTAAATGTTCGCAAAGAAAAAAACCACTGTATTTTTAATAACATCGTGAAAGGAACATACAATTGCAAAAAACACAAAAATTTTACGAAGTGAAAGACTGTAGTGAAGGTGTCTATAAAAGAAATTAACGTTAAATTAACACAAGGAAAACGTGCTCTAGCTGATCGATCTAATTTAAGAATTAAGAATTCAATTTCGAGGAAATTGACACGGATCAAAAATTCCGTATCGATTTCCCTTCCACTTATTTCTTTTTTTATGACTAATATTATTTTGACTTTTACGAAGTCAATTTTAGCTATTGATCTGTCACGTGTATTATCTATCAATACTGTTGCCGTCGTCGTACCCAATGTCATCCGTAGACTTAGCGTTCGGGAAGAGACGGAGCAATTCGAACACGATGCCATTCGTCCATCCAAAGCCTTCCTGCACGTTGTACTCACCGCCGCCGCCGCCCTCGCCTGGGTGTATTGCGTTATACTGAAATTAAAAGATTAATTAGATCATGTAATCGGACATTTCGCAAATCAAATCGTGCTGATGCGTATTTTGGAGAAGCAATATTAATATATGGAGAAACTACATTTCATACAATGTGATTTAAATATAAAAAAAAAACGTACAAGAATATTAAAAAATTGTTCCTTATTTTGGAGAAACAATATTATGAACATTAACATATAGTTTGGTATGTTATTAATAATGAAGAAATTAAGTTTACGTTGTTCACTTATTAGTGCTCGTCTTTGATTTGCTTAATACATTATTATAGAGATTTTATAACATACAAAAGAGAGAGAGAGAGAGAGAAATGTCCAAGCAACATAGTTACGTTTAAAATATCCTATCTTAAAATTGCCATGTTACCTACATTGAAGCCTTTTTTCCCCAATGTTTAAAAATTCATATCTTCCAGAAAAATAAAGATATCGACTTTTTTCTGGGCTCATTTTAAAGATGAATTATGTGGCTATTTTATAAAAAATCGTGATTTTATTTCAAAATGGCCGATTTAATATGGCCGATTAAAACATCATT